AAGCAACGCAGGGCGAAACGATAATCTCGAGAGCAAAGTAGGGCTAGGGCAAACGTGAGTTTGGAAAGTAAATGGTTGGACTGGTCGGTGTGCCGCTATGTGTACCGTGTATGTATGTATGTACGTACGGTTCGTGGTTGGCGCACACCGCGACGCGGTGAAAGTGATCCGAAATTAACGGGGACGCGTTGTGGCTCGTAGGCGTCGTCGAGGCAAGGGGCACACACGATTCAGCGATACGACACCTGGAACGTTATCAACCTCGTAAAAACTCGTCTCGACCGGAGAGACACACGGCCGCGCCGATTCTGACAGTTTGATCGAGAGTCGGGCGCAAACCGGGACGAGACTCGAGAAGCGCGATTCGACTCCAACGATCGCGCGCCCGTTCCACCTTCGAAGAAATTTCGCGGTGTTTTCACCTTAGGCCGATCGCACACGGGTGCGACCGATCAGTCTCAAACCATTCTGAAACTAGTTGCATGCAACCGTGGATCTGGGTAATACAAAGACAGCGGAGTAGGTAAAACAAAGAGCGCAAACGGTTTGCAACACTAATTTGCGAATTCGGACGAAAACGTGTTCGGACGAGTACGTCCGAAATCTTCATCAGAACAGAAGGTGTTCTACATACGGTTACTATAGATTTCACATAGTTTTTACATAGTACGATTTTTTACATTTACAATTTTACATAGTTTGTTTTTTGGAAATTATACAAAAGAGATATATACAAAATAACACGAGCCTGTGTTAAGGCTCGGGAAGAGAATGCGCGAACAGTCGACGCGTAGGAATCGTTACAATTGAAAAGTGAACAGCGAACGTCTAATTCCCGGATTGGAAGGTGGCGGAAAGGTGACTCGTCGAACACCATCGGAAAAAACTCGAGCGCGAGAGAAAAAAGGAATCGGCGTTAAATTCAAGCTGTTCCGCGAATGGCGCGAAAAACTGGATCCGAGCAGTGCCACGATCCAAGAATCACCGATCGAATGACTTAATACTCGCCAATTAGATGACGGCACGAGCGAAACGACGTTGCCTTTCTATTTTTATCGCGATCGGTTCGCGTCTGCGCGACTACTCGCGGCGCTCTTCCGCTTCTTCCTTCTACCGTTTCGCGGAAAAATTGCTATAATTCGCGTTCTCTCCGAAAATCTCTTCTCCCCGAAAATATTACGCATCGCGTAAAGCAGGATTCAGGTTCGTAATACAACGAGAGGCTTTGATCGCGAGAGGCTCCCGACGAGTAAACGACCCTTCTCGAACTTCGGGAAGAGGCCCTCGTTTCGTATCGGTTGCGAGAGAATGTTCTTGAGACGCTAACGACCGGCCAACGTTAGTTTTCATAAATCTCGCGTTAAGAAAGAAGCGACGGACGAAGGAGGCACGCGACAAGGGTAGCCGTTCACGAAGAAGAAAGGCTATTACCGAAAGCTGCCTCGGGCCGTCCCTTTTCTCCGTGGTCTCGAAGAAATCTCCGCGGAATTCTCATGAACGAGTAATACCGTGAATGGATACCACTCGCGGTGGTAATACCGATTGTATGGGAGTCGTGCGTGTGGCTAAGACCGGTTAGGGTCGTCTCCATAGCGAGAGAGAGAGCCGTTTCGTAGAGGCGAACGAGTCACCGGCATGCGTGGGCGTATTTCTCAGCTATCGAGTCGTCTCTCACTGTTTCCCGATGCACGCACACCAGCACCGAGCCCCGACAGAATTCCCGTTGATTTATCCAAGTTCCGATATACGTCTCGAGCCTCTCTCATACTCGATTCATCGGAAAATACGTTTCCTTGTTCCGCCTGCCTTCTTTCTCCCATCTATCCGACAACTTCTCTACCTTTGCTCGTCTGGATGCGATATTATTATTTCTCATCGATCCTCTGTAAGCGTAACGAAGTCGCGTCAAAAAGTCTACGATCCTTTTCATTTACGGAACCGTACTTATGTATGTACTTCTCTTCGATCAGATCCTATTATTCAAAAAGTTTTTAACACTTTATTTACCGGGAGCCTATTTCTAGGCTTTTCAATTCCAGTGTTTAGCTTTCGTTGAAGTATCGTTGATTTTTTGTATTTTTTAATCCTAGAGGGGTTTAACCCCTTGAACAGCAACTTATTCTCTATCCATGTACGTAAACAGTTTTTCCATTTTTCGAAAGTCGATTATCGATCGTCGTTTTGTCCCACTGTGCGTCGTCTAGATCTCCAAATAGCTCGGATACCGAACTAAGAAATCGGAGAAGCGGCGCGGCACCGATAAATGAATCCGATATAACCTATCGAAACTATTTTCTTCCGTCTCCGAATCGAAATGCACTTAGATCCGTGAGCGAATGCGCGAAGAGCCGTGATTTATGGAATACAATCGAGGGAACTGGATGCGATCTTTGCCGGCGTGGCGAACGGAAATACCTCCGTTGACAACGCGCGTCAGGGGAACTCGCGCGAGTAGCGTTTCTCGCGTCAGCTGCGGAAAGACACAGTCGGCGAAGTTAATTGGTAAATGTAATTGGAATGCGAGTAGGTAGCGGTAGTACCAACCATCGTTACGCTCGTGATCTGATTGCGGATTTTTACGGGCGCGAGCCGTATAATTAAAGCGCTGAAAGAAACTGCCCAATCAGCGCGAGTAAGTAATTGAATTTATTCGCGCACTTTTACGCGCTCGAGTCGTGGAAATCTCTCCGAAATTCCGTCCGTTCTAAGAACCCGCGCATGGACGAGAGACGTTCTTTCTCGCGTTTTACCCTTACGCGAGTATCGCTTCGATCAAAAAATTGGATTGGAAAAAGATTAGAAAAATACTTTTCGATCCATTTCCAATTACGATTTTTTCGACTTTTGTGCACTGCGCGACGGTATCTCTTCTAAACGATCCGCAAACATCGTCGATTCCTTTCCAAGATTTTGACGTCGCGGCGTAAACATTTTCATTATCCTATCGATCCCGGATTCCTGAATGACATTAACTCACCCGCGGATAAACACAACTATAAACGCGAACGTACAAAAAAAAAAAACGTCATTCCTCGCGCGTGTTCGCGACGCGGTGAAACTTGATGCTTCCACCGTGCGACTCGTAAATTTCTTTGGATCGTGTCTAAAAATATGGAACGAAGTTATATTACTCGCGGTCGAAAACGTGTTTTTACGCGTCGTTTTTTATCCGATGTAATTAAAAGTGCCGGGGTTGCCGAGGAAGATTGCGAGCGTCGCGACGTGTCGCGGTTGGACAGGGTTGGCGCGTGCGTCGAAAAGCGTTTCGTTGGATTCGTAGCGGCTGGTATCGATCTTGGAAGAAGGGTCGCGATAAGAGGCCGGGTTGCGATAAATTCCATCGGTTTCGAGGGTGGAACCGGGAACCGTTGCGCCGCGGCGATTCGTCGGTAGTTGGGCCAAGGAAAGGGACCTATTAAAGAACAAAGCGTTGCTCTTTGCTCAGCCGGATAGGTGTACGTAGAACCTTAGGCTAGGAGAGATGCCGCGCTGACCTTTAACTGTACCCGCATGCCGCAACACGCTCACCTGTATTCTAGCGCAATCCGTTCGCGTTCTCGCAGCATCGATCCTGCTCCTGCCGTTGCCTGCTCCTGCTCTTGCTCTTGCTCCGCTTCGCCGCGACCGATACAACGGACTCCAGATGCATATGCCTCGAGTCCAGTTAACTTTTCCCCGCCACGAAAACTGCGCCTTCGTCGGCGATCGAGCAAAACGGCGCTTTAACCCGTTAAACGGGGATCAACGAGTCCTATCGTCGTTTCGAGACGCCTCTCGTAACCCTCCAGACGTTCTCAGATCTCGATTCGAGGGTTCGTAATTGATTCGTGAGGGATCTCGAAGTATTCGTCTCGGAGTAGGGAGTTGGTCACTTTTCCGATAACTTTTTAAGTATCTAGGGATTACGAACTCGCGAAGTACAAAAATTTAATCTGTATTTTATACACGCGAGTCTGCATCTTTGCACGTCCTTAAACCAAGATACTTTCTTTTTTCGATTCGGCGACATTTAAACGGGTTCGCCTGTGTAACGGTTATTTTCGAGCCGATTTTTAAGAATTTTTTGTAGGAAAAGTACCAGTGCAATTACGATAATTTTTTGTTATTTGGTAGATCGACGCTTTAACATTAATTTTTGATTTCATCACAATGTTTCGATATGTGGATATTCCTAGACCGCGTTTTAACGAGACCAATTAAAGGTAGAAGAGCCATTCGGCGAGCAGGATTTGATCGTACTTGATTATCTGAAACAAAAAAAAGTAAAATATCACCGTCTTTATATTAGAGGGACCAGAAGGTATTGTCGTTTCTGTGAATGTCAATACTTGTTTATCATATATCGGCTCGTTGTATACCAGTTGATTTTTATCGATCAGATATTGAACATTTGCACACTAGATAACAAAAGGTTGTTGGTAACGAGGGCGATTACATAATTGATGAAAAATAAAAACTTGTCATGAATTTATTTGTTTGAATTTAATGTAAATGGTACGACAGTACCTTTTGGTCCCCCTAATAATTACATTTTGAAGATATTGACGATGAGATATTCACAAAATTTTGAAAATTCTTAATAGGGTGGCGTATAAACTAAGAAATGATATTTTAAGGTATCTTTTCTCCTATTTAATGCCTAATAGACGTTGGAAAAAAATTTGTTTAACACGAATCTCGCCGCTAAGATTGTAGAAAAAAAAATTGTATCCTGATTCATGCAATGGATTTTGCGCAATCCCGCTCGCCAATTCTAAAAACGTGGTTTCGAGAAAAACGCGTTCAAGTTACACAGGTAGACCACCTTAAGAGTTTTCCCAAAAGCGACCAACTCCCGGCATCCTCACGAATCGAGATCTGGGAACGTCCTTCCCCTTAAATGCGTCCGGTTTTTCGCCTTTTTACGCGAGTCGGCTCCGAACGCGCGAGTAAAAAATTCCCACGGCTACGCCTAGTGAAAGTAACGAAGCGCCGATACATTGTTCCCGTTTTGATTCCAGGTGAAAAACCGTACCAGTGCCAGTGGCCAGAATGCGAATGGCGGTTCGCCAGAAGCGACGAGTTGACTCGTCACTATCGAAAGCACACCGGGGCGAAGCCTTTCAAGTGCGCCGTGTGCGAGCGTTCGTTCGCCAGAAGCGACCACCTCGCCCTGCACATGAAGCGGCATCTCCCGAAGCAGCACGCCAAGTGACCGCGTAACCACGCGTCCAAGTCTCCGGCGTCGAGCGTCTCCTCGACCGCGTCGAACTCACCGAGCGTTTTCGCGCGCGACACGGCCCGAGAGGAGATCCGACCGTTCAGCGTCGTTTTCTAAAACTCGGCCTCGAGTTTCCGGACGAGCACCGCGCTGATTTCGAACACGTCCCGCACGTTCGTTTCTCGGCCCTCGGATATCGTTCGACGACGTACGAATGTTGTTTCGCAGCTTGTTCTCGCAAAAAGGAGAATCGCCGAATAAAAAACCGGCGCCACTGCCAAACGATCCCGTCGTTAACCTTAACGAACCGAGAGATCGTCGATGAATCTTCGTAGTCTCGATTGCTACATTCGCACGGAGATGGGCGAAATTCCTATCCGGACACAAATCTCGAATAAAGCGATAAACAGCTTTCGACGCGTTGTTTGTCCGATCGAAATTAGAAAGTATACGATACGATCAAACGTGCGGCAGCTTACGTCGATAACCGTTGTGTTAGGTGGCTGTGTCGTTATTACGCGTTTCGACCGTGATGTTTCGCGATGCGATGGAGATGGAGATACTTTTAAAAACGTTCCAACGCTGTTACGATAGAATATAGCAAAAGTTTGACAGATTGTAACGTACAGGAATACGTCAAAGGAAAAAGTAATTGCTATATCAGATATTTAACGCTCTCGCTGCCGACGAAAATAAGTAGCCGTTCGCTGGGAGCTGCAATTATGATAATTTTTTTTAATGAAAAATTTCTCACAAATGTTCCAATATGATTATTAGACTGCGGATCTTTGTTCATTTATAGGAAATTTGAATGTACAAGAAACTACAAAATGGAAACGATATGCAAGAATATAAAAAAAATCGAAAGCAAAGTTCGTGTTATGATATTCGCAGAATACAATAATTTCCTCTTTAGGTTCAATTTTTGTAGGCACGTTCGCCAAGATTTTATTTTACGTAAAGATCCGCAGTCCAATGATTATTTTGAAAAACATATATTTGTGGTAACTTATTTTATATAGAATACGATTGCCGAACAAAAAGAATTAAATATGTTTTCGAAATTTATTATTTTTTATGATCATTTCTGAAGCACTAAAATTTAGACTCTCAATAACCGGCTAAAAAACCTAAGTTAAAAAAGCAAAGGACACATGCGCGTCATCCGCAGCGAAAGTGTTAAATAAACTGTAACGACGTCGCTGACCGATACTTCTGTACCACGTAAAAATTCGAATAATTTTATAATTATAATTATATAATGGGTTATGCCCGTATATTGAAATAAATGACTAAATGCATAAATAAATAAATAAATAATCGTATCGATCCCTCATCGTTTGATCGAATAAATCGCCACTAGTATACTTTATTTATCGTCTACGATTCGAACAAAATTCTGCCCATCTCTGCTTGTACCGAACACGACACGGACAAGCTAATAAATTATCATTCGTACATTGTAACGAAACGCGTGTGTAGGTACGATCATAGTGGCTGGACCACTAACGTCTTGGCGAGTACTCTGTCTCCGCCACGTTTCGCAAGTACCTCCTCGCGAAAAGCTAAAATACATTAAGGAAAGTAATTCTCGAATATAATCGTCGAGGAACTTTAAGACTTTCTCGCGCTGCGAATGTCTGTTCGCTGGTAGGAATAAAAGCGAAAGACGGAGAAAAGGTAAACGAGGGACTAAACAAAATACGTCTACCTTCGCATATTTAATGAACCGTAGTTACGACAAAGTACACGAATGTGTAAGTGCTATAAATCACCGTAGCGTTTTAAAGAGTTTTTTTTTTGCGATTTAACTTAAACAAAATATTTATCTAAGTTAGTTCGAGAATTCCAACCTGTAAATCTCCCACGTACGTTCGCGAACGAACACTGTATGTAAATCAAAAATTATTATCGATCCGCTTTCAATTTGCATTCGTTAAAGACGATAATAACGATCGGAACGATAGCTTGTTTGTATGAATACGTTCGACGTCATCGTTGTCGTCGTACGCGAGCTGTATCGAGTACTGTAACGTTCTCGGCTGCAATTTCGGAACGCGTAGGCTTTGCGTTCTAATTTCACTCGTTTAAAAATACCTGCGATCCATCGAACTTTATACTTAAAAATTACCAATTTTAGGATTGCGTTTAAGGTTATAACTCCTTTTTATTAATCGAATACTGATCGCAACCGAAAACGTTGCGATGATACAGCTCGCCGAGTCTGCGACGACGATTAAATAAAGTCAGTAATAATCGTCGAGTAGCGAAACGTCGCTGACTGAACGCCGTCCACTGAAACGAGCCACGTAACCGAGGCAAAATTTTTAGTTGGCGAAGCTAGAGTAAAAGCGTCGAGAATTTTTATTCGGTATGCGTACGCTGTTTGAAAGTTTTCGGCGATCTCGTCGCACCGCTCGACGACTCTTCCGGCTGTTGCTTAACCGTTGCACCGCACCGCGGCATTAATCGTCCTTTCGCGGATCAGTAAAGGTTTATTTAGACTGCTAAGTGCCTACGCTTCCATCGCGTTTTTCAAATCCGTCCGTACGGAACGAAACTTCGAATGCTCTTGAAATTCGTAATTTGCATTCGATACCGGTTTGCGTGCGCAGCGTATAAATTGCCAAGTAAAAAATTCCTCGGCTCGTGCGAGCTCAGCGACGGGGATACTGCGACGAAATTTTCGATCCTCTGAAACGGAAAGCGACGTAAGAATAAATATATATATATATATATTTTTTTTTTTTCGGGTGCTGTCACGGGTACAGTGGCCACTGTGTTATTACACACCGTCGGATACGAGAGCGTTAAACGAGGGAGTGTCGCGCAGACGTGGGCAAGTGTAGACGATAAATTATCCAGAGAGAGTTAGTCTAACGTTCTAAAGTTCTTCTGTTGATTTATGTATCGGGTAGGTGCATAAGTAATGGCCTTATTTCGAATTAAAATTTGCGTGCAACGGGAATGTTACTCGGTGAAATATTACGCGTCGTTCGACAAGAGACTTCTTCGTTTTTACGATAGATCCGATTCGAGTTGATTTTGCTTGCGCTCGTTTGCTTTCGACGCTCTCCGCGACGAGGATCGGTCGAGATCGATACTAGAAATGAATGAATATATCGTGATGCCTTATGTACAAATTCGTGTAGATACGTATACAGGGTGTCTACGTATAAGTTCGGACGTACGCAGGGTGTCAATTCCACAACTTTCCAACAAAAAATTAGTCATAGACATTTTCTCTGTGTCGCCTTCTTCTCGAGTATTTTCACTTTTAATTTTTTTTTCTGTGTTTTCGATGCGACACTCTTTAAACGACCAATAACTCTGCATTTAAACGTCATTTTCTCCCTGAAACACCACCGTACAATTTTTTTTTTTTGACAATACGATCCAAAAGCTGAGACCTCGAGGAAGTTTCTCCCGAAGAGTGCACGTCAAAAAACTATGTCTTTGAAACCGGAAAACAAGTACAGAAAATGTCGAATTTTTTAAAATTTTCACGATGTAAAGTTTGATCTAATTTTTCGCTCGTTAAATCTACGTAATAAATTTTGGTTTTCCATCAGGGAGATGGGAAATGTAACGCTCCATCTAATTGTATACTTGGTTTTAAGTTTACGCTATACTTTGGTGTAGTTTAGTTTAGTGGTGTAAAGATTGTCAAGTCGAAAACGCAGAAAAAAATATTAAAAGCGAAGATTCTCGAGAATAAGGCGACGCAAAGAAAATGTCTAAGAGTAACTTTGTGTCGGAAATTTGTTGTAGAATTGACACCCTGCGCATGGCCGAACTTATACGCAGACACCCTGTATAGATGTACGTGTATGTACGTGTGCGTTCGCAGAGCTGGGCAACGGGAACAACCGAGAAATAAATAATCTAACCGTATCTGTTCACGTATTATAAAATAAAATACGTCATTCGATTGTACTCGTTACCCGTTGGTTCGAATGAAACGTTGCCCGTCTCTGTGTACAAGCGTACGCGCGTGCACATGTCTATGTACATATAAACGTACATATTATTATTTAGAAACCGTCACGTCACGCGTTCGTCGCGACTGACAGGTTCGTGCACTTGTGTGTGTGTACACGTGTAAAATATGATACATATCCAATACATATGTAGTTAGTGTAATATTATCTGTATAATAATGTTCGATTTTAATATTCGGGTCGGCGGAGGGTTGCGTTCGTCGATCCACGATTTTACCGATCACTTTATTTACTTCTTCGAGAAAGTAGTGCTTGTAACGCATAGCGATATACGAGAAAACGGCGAGTCGACTTTTAGTCTTGACTTGGAAAACAAAATAGACTTTCGCGCGATGATTTAACGTCCGCCCTCTTTTGTTTCTGGTCACGTTGTTTTTCTTCTTTTCGTACTTCGAAGCGATTCGAACGACTGAAGATGCGCCGCGAGTATGGGACAAGTTGGATCGTCCCAGCGTTGGGTGTCTCGTTAACGTTTCATTTTCATTAAAAACATGGAAACGCTCGTTGCTAATTGTCCCTTGTTTAACTAGACGATTCGTCGACGCATTCGCTGCCCAACTCTGGCTCGATCGACGCGATCGACCATCCCGAGCGCGACAGGCCAAAAATTTCACGCGTGGATCACGCTTTGCAACGTAATCGACAAAGCGCCACGGTTATTTTTTAACGTTAGCGAAAAGTAGAAGACAGAAAGACGCGTTGATATGGATCTATTTATCACCTCTGTTCGTTCTAGTTGCGATACAGTTCACCTTTTCACGTCACGGAAGGTCTCGGAGACAGATTTCTCTTTCTGTGAGAATTTTTTTTATTTAACAATCCCTTTTCTTTCGGCAAGTTGACTCATTCGCGAATTAGATGGCAAACAGTAGGCTCGTATTAGCGCCTATGCGAAGACGATAATTTAATTAACTAATTAGTAATTCGTTTAGTTTCTCGTTTGTTTGTTTGTTTTTTTTTTCAGATAAATAGTTAAACATGCTTCGCGACTTTCCGTGCCGCTTTTCTTTATTTTCTCGGCACTCTTCTCCAACTTCCGACGAAACCTTTGGTTGGTTCGCCCGCTACGTCGATATTAATCTTAACGCAGATATACCTCATTTACGGAAATAGAAAATCGAGCGCACCCGCGACGAAATTTTCACGTACTCTTCCTACACGGTTTCCTACAATTTTGTTCATAATGTTTATAAAACACTGTAATTTGTGTGTTGTGTAATTTAAATATACGACGTATGTGTATGGATATACGCATATGTATTCACTAACAAGGCATTTGATTTCTTTCTATCTATATTTGCAGGCAATTGACGTTTGGCGCTCGACGCCACAGACGTTATTTCATCCTAACAGTACTCCTTATTGAATAACAAATGGAACCGATTAAATATATCGTTTTTTTCTGGCTTCAATTCTCAAATACTGTAACTAATCACGTAATTAAATTCGAATTTCGATCAGCGCACGATTTACCCGCGCTAACGGGGCAAAAATTGGTATCGCCATCTCGCGGTGAATAGGTGGAACTAAAATCCCGACCTCCGTACAGCGCACCACCGGGAAAACGCT